CAAGTGTCCTCCCCCCCTCCTCCTCCTCCTCCTCCTCCTCCTCCTCCTCCTCCTCCTCCTCCTCCTCCTCCTCACTATCAGCATCAGCATCATGACTAGAATCAGCATCCTCTTCAAAATCAGCAGCATCATCAGCATCATCATCATCATCATCATCATCATCATCATCATCATCATCATCATCATCATCATCGTCATCGTCATCATCAACATCATCATGAGCATCATTGCCACCATCAGTATCATCATCATCAGCATCATAATCGTCATCATCAGGGTCGTCAAGATTAGCATCATCACCATCATCATCATCATCAGCATCAGCATCAGCATCAGCATCACCATCACCATCACCATCATCATCAGCAGCATCACCACCACCACCAGCATCATCACCATCATCATCATCAGCATCATCCTCATCCGCCTCCTACTCCGCCTCCTTCTCCTCCTCCTCCTCCTCCTCCTCCTCCTTCTCCTCCTCCTCCTCCTGCTCCTCTTCCCCCCTCCTCGTCCCCAGCCTCCTGCGCCTCCTCGTCGTCGTCCTCCTCGTCCTCTAGACTCTAGCTCCATCCTCCTCAGCTGCCTTCAACCTCTGCCTCTGAATCATCCATCCTTCAATTCCGCCACCTTGGATCCTTCTACTCATCCTCCGCACAATCCTCATGTATATCACATTCGTCACTATTCATCAGAGTCCTGCCCTGATGCCATGTTGCTCCCCTCCTCCTAGGTTGCCTCTCCCCCCCACCCCACGCCCTCCTTTTTTCTCCTCCACCAGCCTCGTGCTCACCCACCCCGTTCTCACTCGCATGCGCGCTTGAGTGCCCAGAGTTCATACGCGTCGAAGGAGTTGTACTGAGGTTTAGTGGTTTGGAGGTGAGGCCGTACGTTGTTGGGCTGGGCCATTGGCTTGACCGTTTGGTCGGCGACTCCGAAGGGTGCGGTTCGTGAAGGGTGCGGCTTGCAAGCCGCACCCTGGGGGTCGGACAGAGACCTCGACAGAGATCTCCTCGGCGCCCCGGGGAGGGTTCATCAAACAATTGGCGCAACGTGGTGGCCCCCTAGTTGCGCCCCAACGGCGGCGATCGCAAACCACACCCCGGCGTAACCACACCCCTTGAAGTCGCCGAGTTTGGGCCTGAAAGGGCACAGGACCGACCTGGTGGGGGGGGGGCTGGACAAGCACCGGCTATCCAGGATCGGGGCTGGCTCTCCAGGGCCACTTGGCACCAGCACATCCCACCTTGCACTCCATCCCAGGCCAAACACACACACACACACACAGAAAACTGAGCTCCAGACCCATCCCAGGGTCTCTCCTGGCCAGCTTTTTGAACCACGCGCGGCCGTGGCCACGAGGGTGCCCCAGGAGGCCCCAGGAGGCCCCAGCAACAGGGAAGAACGTCAGAGCCCCCTCTCCTCCCTCCAACTTCCTCCCTTCTTCCTGTCTTCTCATCGCTCCTCCTTCCTCCCCGTGTTGGTCGGGCGAGCCCGGCGTTTGACCCGAGACTTCCTCGCCGCGCATGGTTCTTAAGCTTGAACCGTGCAACAGTTTGCAGGCTGGAGGGCGGGCCGTTTTCAGAAGGTGGCTCTCGCCTTCGCGCCGCGCACGTGTGCTTTCCAAAGTTCGCGAAGGTTTCGTTGATGGAGGGCGGTTCCTTTTCGAAATGTGGCTTTCGCCTTTGCGCCGAACGCACTCGCTTCAAAAGCTCGCAGCCGATTCAAGGATTCGGGGGATTGAAATCCCTGGAATGGTGTTTGGGCACAGGTTAGTCACAAGAAAACGCGTTGGCACGATTGGGACTCCCAGACGGTTGTCTTTCAATGGGGCACATCCCGCAATGACAGTAACTTCTTGTATGGGACCCAGGAGGAGGGAACTTGGAGAGAGGGATTCTCGAGACATCGTTGGTCCGTCTTGGGTTTGCACTGGGCTGCTCCTTCTCCTCCTTCTCCTCCTCCCTCCTCCGTCTTCTTCCTCCCCCCATCACTCTCTCCCTCCTTCCTTCCTTCCCTCCCCCCCGGCGCGCGCGGGTCTATCCCGCCGCCCGAGCACATCAGCGGCCGCTCCCAGGGGGGCGGGGTCTGCCAGCCGAGGCCTCTGGGCCTGGTCCTTCCCTTCTCCTGCTTGATACCTCCTCCCCATCGCACCCGCAGACGGGTTGGTAGGGCGGGGCGGGGGGTGCGTCGCCTGACGCTTCCTCTTCACTTACGATCCTTGAGCTTGAAACTTGCAACAGCTCCTCTCTCCTTCTCCTTCTCCTCCTTCTCCTCCTCCTCCTCCTTTTCCTCTCGGCGACTTTCTCATACTTTTCCTCCTCCTCCTCCTCCTCCTCCTCCTCCTCCCCCTCCTCCTCCTCCTCCCGCCGTCCTTCCTTCCCTCCCTCCCTCTCTCCCTCCCCTCCTCCTCCGTCCTCTTTCCCTCTCCCTCGCCGCCTGCTCGCCGCCCTCCTCGTCGGGAGACCCGTCCTCGTCCCCCTCGGCGATCTGCCCAAGCGAGGGCTCGGCGCGCCGCGCGGCCCTCGGAAGAGGGGGATGGGGGAGGATAACGGAGGAGGGATGATGGAGGGAGGAGAGAGGAGGGGAGGAGGGAGCAGGGAAGGAGGAGCAGAGAGAGGAGGAGGGGGAGGGAGGGGGGAGCAGGGAGGGGGGAGGCATGGAGGGGAGGTACGTTTTGGACTCGGTCCAGCGCTACAAGAGGGGAGGGAAGGAAGAGGGAGGGAGGGAGGAAGGAGAGAAGAAGGAGGGGGCAGCAGAGAGAGGAGGAATGAGGGAGGAAGGAGGGAGGAAGGCTTGTGTTCGCCGCAGGCTTTGCTGAAGGCGCACTCTGTCTGCAGCGCCCCGCAGGGCCCTGGGATAAGCAAAACGGGAAAATATCGAGAGCAAGAACTCAAGATATATGAGGGGCGCGGGGTAGGGATGATAATCACACTTAGCCTTAGGTCGGGCATGTCTTCCTACAGGCGGGTTTTGACAGAAACATTTCAAATACACAAAGAAATGCACCCAAATGGTCAAAATGATGGAACATCGTCCCCAGACTGTGTTTTGACTATTCTTGAATATTCCCCCTGTAGAGGGGCAATATCTCCTTTGCCTGCCACGCGTGATAGACGCGAAACAAGGGAAGGGAGGACGGCTAGAAGGGGGAGGGAGAAGGATGGAACACGAGATACTTTAGCAGGAGAAGGGGGGCTAGGAGCAGAAACCACGTGGCAGAAACAGGCGGGCTGATCGGGCGGGTGGACCCTAACGGACGGGTCGGGAAGTCGGGCCCAGGCGGCCAGGTCGAGCAGGCGGGTTGCTGGAGCGTGAGTCCTGCGTGATTCGCGAGGAGGTCTCCAGCGTCAGCACGATACCAAAGAACATCGCGGCAAAACATAAGAACGAGAACGTGATTCCTGAGTGTAATGCCGAGGGCGCGGCGCCGCAATATCAAGCGCGAGGAAGTGCCACGCGAGAGCTCGATTCCTGCATACATTGTGAGGAAGTCCCCCGCGAGAGCACTATTTGGAAATCAACTGAAGGGAAGTATCAGGTGGGAGCCGCTGTTTTGGTAAACCTGGGACCAACAGTGGTTTCTGAGCATGAAGAATTTCCCTTGTGAGCAACAGGGTGCAAGCCCCGGGAGGAGCATTTTCTGGGCAGGGGGGAGTGACCCATTAATTGTTCTTTGGAAATGGGCAGTCAACGACCACCATTGGAAGACTGATTGCTTTCATACGCTGGCGTGCCATTTAATGTGTATATCCCAAACCCTCGATGCCCGCCCTCTTCGTCTTTGATCGTGCCCCGCATGGGGGTATATCTACCTTACCTGCCACGTATACTTGGCCCAGCCGCTAAGACAAGGAGGGGAGGGAGGAGGGACGAGACAAGGGGGAGGGAGAAGGATGAAACACGAGAGAGATTTGCAGGAGGGGGGTCAGGAGCAGGAGTACAAACGGCAGAACCAAACGGGCGGGCTGGGTGGCTAGACCCTAACGGGCAGGTCGGGCAGGCGGGTCCAAGCGGCCAGGTCAAGCATCGCAAGAAAGTTTCGAGCGAAAGCGCGGGTCTCGGGTAAATCGTTGGAGAATCCAGAGAGAGAGAGAGAGAGAGAGAGAGAGAGAGAGAGAGAGAGAGAGAGAGAGCGAGAGAGAGAGAGAGAGAGCGTGATTCCAGAGTGTCGAGGGCGCGGCGCCGCAATATCAAGTGCGAGGAAGTACCACGCGAGAGCTCGATTCCTGCATACGTTGAAAGGAAGACCCACGCGAGAGCACCAATGTTGAAATCAGTTGTAAGGAAGTGTCAGGTGGGAGCCGCTGTTTTTGTGAACTGTGGGGGGGGGGGGGGGGGCAGCAGCGTAGTCTAAGCAGGAAGAGGTGCGAGCCCCCGGAGGAGGGGGGATCAGCAATAACGGTTCTTGAATAATGCAGACTCAACTCAGCAACAACGCAACAACAATTCGCACCGCGGCACCGAACTTCAGCCACGCGCCCAGGGACAATGAATGACAGATCGGCCACCTCACTCTGATTAAAGTCACGACCACTTTACTAAAGGCCCCCCTCCTCCGCCTCCTCCTCCTCCTCCTCCTTCGTCTCAATCTCATCCCCCTCCTCGAAATCACCATCCACTTACACCTGCTGCGCCTGTCTCTTCCTGCAGCTGCTCCTGTCTCTGACCCTTCGCCCCTCAGTCCTCCCTGTCTGCATCATGTCCCCGCTGCCCCCTCCCGCGCCCAGTCGGTTCTACCAGGGCTGAAATTCCCAGGCCTTCGCCGTCCCCGTGTGTTGCCACCGTCGTCGTTCTAGTGTCTCGTCGTCCTCCGCCCCTCGTTGTCTATATCATTATTATTGTGTTGTGCTATATGTTATTCCTTTTGTTTGTTCTCTCTCTCTCTCTCTCTCTCCATTTATGGTTACACACAACCGGTAAATACATATATATATATATAATACATACATAACATACATACATACATACATACATACATACATACATACACGCCTGTCGACGATCCTCCCCGCTCCGACTGCTCGGGCCGCCCGAGGCTCGGCTCGCCTCACGGGTCTCCAGCCCTCGCTTCGAGTCCACCGAAGAAAGCCCCTCGCGCACGCGGGAAGCACTGCAGCACACACCGTCCTCCAGCACCCCCCCCCAATCCTCCCTCCCCTCCCCCTCCTCATCCCCACTTCTTATTGTTGCGCCCATCGTACTTAAGGACCGCATGCCAAAAACAATTTCGAGCACCCAGGCAAGTATCGAAACAGTGTCGAACGAGTATCGCCTCCCAGGGCCCGTCACGTGAAAACCCTACAATTTCGGTACTTCTGGTGCTCGAGACTCTTTCTGGTGATCAAGGCTGAAATAGGCTGGAACATCATAAACCTCCTGCTCCTCAACCCCCCTCCCCGACATCAGATTGAAAAGCAAATCCACCCGACCCGAACTCTGGGCTAGAAGCCGCTACCTCGCCTGAACTGAACCGCCGTGCGGGCTTTCCGCTGGGGGGTCCCCGCGCCTGGCCGGGTTGCTGGTCTTGCCCCGGCGCTGGTACCTGTTAGGGGGGAGGGCGACGAGGCGGAGGTCAGGAGGCGGGAAGATGAGGAGGGTGGAAAGGATGGATGGTGAGGAGGAGGACTTCTTTTTTAAACAAAACGCCTCCTCATCATCATCCTCCTCTCCAGGTTGTGTGATACAAATAAATACGAGGATGATTCTTCAATTGGAAAAAGTAAACGGAGAGGAGGAGGAGGAGGAGGAGGAGGAGGAGGAGGCGCACTGAGAGTTTTCACTTTCCGAGCAAGGGTGGCCGTACGGCCAGACAGCGCTGCACAACGCTACAGCAAGACTGCGCCGCTGCGCGAATCGGAGGAGCGCTAGGCCGGCAAGGACAGACGGACGTGATCTTCGAAGAGACGCGAAACGCGAAGGATCCACCAGGCTCTAGACGACTGCTGGCAAGTAGCGAGCGGAAGTGCGGAGGGAGAGGTCTGGACAGAGGCCAAGAGGAAGCGGAGGCAACAGCAGCGCGTGCAGAGCACAGTCCTGGCCACTGCCGCCAAGAAGCACCAGCGCAGACGTCGGAGGAGGAGGGCACGCGAAAGGGAGGGACCACAAACGCGGCGCAGAGCAGCAGGCTCGCGCGTGCGCAGACCCCTCGGCGGCCCCAGTCACGAGAGCCCAAGCCGGGAGGTGGAGACGAAGGTGCAGACGGGGGGAGACGGAGGAAAGAGAACTATGCACATGCACCGATTCTGGAGGGAGGGGATGCACCGATTCTCTTTCCTCTATCGGTTCCACGAGGAGCTGCAGGCGGGAGGTGGAGACGAAGATGCAGGCGGGGGAAAGGGGGAGGAGCTCAGGCTCGGACGCCCGGCAGGAAGGGCGCTGCTCCCTCGCGCGTGCTCGCTGCTGCCCACGCGGGGCCCGGGCCTCGCGAGGCTCCGAAGAGCCGACGGGGCTGGCAGAAGTACAGTCGGGGCGCTGACCTAAGGAACCCTAAATAAGGAACGAGGCTCCTTTCTTCCACAAGTTAAACTTCGATTCCCCATCGAAAACAGAAGGACAACCTGAGGCAAGCCGTGAAACACGTAAGGGACACGGAGCCCCTCCCCAACGACCAAGGTTCCTTCTGCAGTGAGCCGACTGCAGAAAAAGCAAAGACGCCATAACCATAAACTTGTGGCGCTCCGCGCGGACTTCTTGGATCTGCGCTGGGGCCCTCTCCCTGCGGAGCGCCAAAAGTTGATGTTTATGTAGGTTTCTTGTTTCTTTTTCGAGCTTGGGGGAGAGGCTGTCGTGGGAGCCTGCACTGGGGGGGGGGGCCAAGGGACCCAGGCCGAGAGAGGCTGCCCCTCCCGCAGCTGCGTGCGGGTGCTGTAAACTCGACCCGAGGCCCACAGAAAACCAATCTGGCGAGTCACGAGAGCAAGGATCCTCGAATCCAGCTCGGCTGAATCCCGTTTGGCCTGGTCCGTCTTTCTTGACCCAGAGGATGCTCATACTAAGCCACGCTGCAACGATTTCAGGAGGCGCCATCCTGACCACCTCGACGCCCCTGGCCTCCTCTACCAGTGGCGTCATGCTGGTTGAACACCCCCCTGTACCCCTACTGCTCAACTAGCATCTTGAATGGCACGTTTTCCGCTCTGTGTTCCACGATGATCGCCTCCCAGTCATTACACCAGTCGAGCGCGGAAAACTCCTGCCAAGCTGCTTGGATATCCGCCTTTTCATGATCCACTGGTCGCCATGTAAGTCCTCGTCCGCTAGCTACTCGGGTGATGCAGTCTTCTTCGCCTGGAGAGATCACCAAGACTCTCGATATGTCGATAGTATGGGTGCCGGGAAGGCTGGCGACGTAAAAGCAGATGCAAACATCGGGTCCCGCAAAAGGCGGTGGCCCACTGGACCGACACTGCTGACTAAGTTAGGGCTTCTGTGGACGCAGAGGAACACCTCCACCAAACTTCCCCCCACGGCTAGACGTCAGCGATGAGCCCGACCACGGCGCGATGGACTGTTAGGGCGCTTGAGCCAACGGCCTTGTCCATCCACAGCATAATGAGCTCGTGCACAACCACCCTCGGCATGAAATCCCCACTGACAACACACAGGCGTGTCGCAGACCTGTAGACCAGGACCGTGAGTGCAGCCAGCCAACATACTCTTGCGGAACACTGCCTCGCGACTACAGCAGCCATAAGTCCTGATGGTGCGGGGGCCCGTGATGTAGGCCAAGAACTGTCGTACCAACTGCATGGGGGGCTTCAGGCGCCTGGCCTCGTCTACCAACGGCCCCAGCATGACGCGTGGCGGACGCCGCGCACAGGTCCAGCACAATTGTAATGCTGGAATCCCCAGATTGGTGGGGCTACCTCGGCCACGCGGTTGTGCCCAAAGGCCGAGTCCACGGATGAGCAGCACTCGCGCATGCCGAAGAAACACTCGAGGGGATGGCTTAGTATCCAGTCGCGCGTGAGCGGCCTTCGCAGTCTGGCAGATATTCGGACACATGTCAGGGCTAGCGCGATGAGGCAGTGAGGGGGAGGATGGTAAGGAGAATGAGAGATGTGGAAGAAGAAGCAGCACGAAAGGGGGGGTGCGTAGGACAAGAGGAAGGAGCAATTGGCTGCTGTTGAAGAGGCGCTGCACCATCAGGAGAAAGACAGGAGGAAGAGGGGAGTAATAATAATAATAATACTAATAATAATAGTAATAATAATAATGGTGATGGGGACGCGGCTGAGCAGGAGGAGAAAGGGAAGGAGGAAACAGAGCAGGACATGTAGATCGAGGAAAAACATCGCAACTCCGAAACGCCCGACCGCAGAACATCGAGGCGCCGCCCACACCACGACGACGACGGAATAAGAGGCGGAAGAGGAGGCGAACAGGAAGTGTCGGCAGAACAGGTCGTGGTCACTGAAAGCCCATCTGAGCAACCGGCGACCGCTGGGCGCACTGAGGGCTACTATAGCCCTGGCGTAGTCAAGCTAACGAGATTGCGCCCCCCGCCCTCGCACCCCACAAGGCTCAAATCCAGCAGTGGGGACTCCACTGGGTACGTAGCGTGTCGAGACACCACTGCCCGATCAGATCAATCAATATCCAAGAAAACGTAGAGGCGAACAGGAGGAGATGGCGGAAAACAAGTGGGGGAAAGAGGGGCCGGATGCAGGGATAGAGGAGGCTGAATGAAGGGTACTGGGCCTGGGCCTCCTTCTGGAGGCGCAGGCAATCCTCCTGCGTCTGGTGGAGCTTCTGCTCCCATACGATCAGTTCCTGCTCCCGCAGGTCGAGCTCTGAGGAAGCAGCCTCTCGGGGAGCATGGCCCTCTTCCTCCCCGTCCTCCTCCCTCTCCTCCTCCCGTCCCTTCTCTCTTTTTCCCTCCCCCTCCTCTTTTACCTCCTCGTCCTCCTCGTCCTCCGCCTCCTCCCCCCTTCTCCCGCTGCTCTGACTCCTCCCCCTCCTCCTCCTCCTCCTCCTCGCCCTCCTGCCCCCACCATCGTCGTCATCACCACCACAACCGACACGACCACCATCCATCACCATCAGCATCACTATCTACAACATCACCATCGTCATCACAATCATCACCGTTACCGTCATCAGCATCGTCATCATCATCACATGCAGCATCATGATGATCAACATCATCATCAGCATCATCATCGGCATCATCATCATGATCATCCCGTTCACCACCATCATCACCATCAGCATCACCATCATTTGAACCATCAGTTTGATGGAGGTCGGGAGGCCCAACCAGATGCTTCGCCTCAGGGGAAGCTCGTACCCAACTCTGCTATACCGTAGTAACGATAATCCCAAGAGCAGGAGAATCGCGGGAGCGACGAACCATGCCAAGCAAAGATGTTTTCGGTCCCAATTGCAAATAGTGTGCCTCGCGATGAGGCACAATCATATCTTGGCGGCCGGCCGCTTGAACACAAACGGCCGCGGACAAACGCTCGCCACCTCTCGCCTTTGCCCAACCACCTTTAGAGTCGGGGGGGAGGAGACGAAGCGCGAGTCCGCCGCCAGCTACACATCAAAACGCTACAATACACAAGGTAGCCGCCAGCATCAGGCGGGCTCAACAAAGGCAGGTTGGCCCGCATGCAAGTTGCCTCGCAAGCAAGTTACTTCGCAGGCAAGTTACCCTGCAAATAACTACTCCTCAGGCGGCTCAGATGATCTCGTCTGGCCAGCCCTGTAGGGAGTGTGTCGTTTTAGCTCATGCTTGAAGGACTGCGCTCCTCCCATGATTTGAAGGAGCATGTCTCTGTCGATGCCCCCCTTGGTGTGGCCATCCGCAGTCATATCGCGAGTGTCACACCACTGCAAACAAGGCACGATACCTCGCTCCATCACATGTGCTGTGCAACTGATGTGTCCCATTATTGTACACTCTGTCGGCTTCTTCAGGTCTTTGCTTGACAAGGATTTCAAGAAATATTCTGCATCGATGGTCAAGGTGGCCTTGATGCTCAGGCCGCCCATCTCAAGTATATTCTTCAGTTGAGTGGGTGTCAGCGGCCCTGCGTGGAGTTCGTGCAGAGTGACGATCGTGAGATAGCAGTCCTCCAAGTTGCGGGCCGCTGCAAGTGTTTCCACTTAGTAGCTCGAGCGGGCCTGCAAGCGATGAGAGTTGCAGTGCGCTTCGGCAAGATGGACGACGGGCTCGCCAGCATGCGTGTCCACGCCTTAGCAATTTCGCCCCGCGAATACCAAATCCTCGGACTTCGTCGTCGGCATCTCCGTTCAGACGCCGGTAGCTGCAGTCGCTATGCAGGTCAACATCGCCCGTTGGTGTAATCGTTTGCTAGACGATATTCTTAGGGCCGGCCTGCAAATTCCTGGTAATCGCGCTAAGTCGTCGCACTTGCATGTTGGTCGTTTCTTGGACGCGCTGTAGTGGCGCAACATAAACCAGTAACCGCACTTGTGTAATAAGGGCGGTAGCAAAATCGCTTCTGAGGCTGCAAAAAAAACATGTCAATAGCAATATTCGACGCCTTGGCCTCAGCATCTGTACCCGTGAGTTCATGGTGCAGGATAGGGCGGAACTGTTCATGTTTTCACTTTGGCCAAGAGTACCCTTGCCGTCGCTGCCCTCTGCATATCTCACGGCACAATTGGTAGATGTGTGTTTGTTGAATTTACATTCCCGAAAGGTATCCTCAACACGCTTGACGCACTTCTCACTGGTGTCCTCGATGCCGGCCACGTTTGCGCCATCGACATGCCCGGCAGTAAGAAGGTTGGAACTTGTCCCAAACTTCTGGTCGTAGGACGTGGGTTAAAAACCAAAGCCTCTCGTGGTCTTCCTGAGCTTCAGCGAGAAAACTATTGGCTTCCTTGGTGCCAGAACCTGGTTTGGGGCGCTGTAAACAATGTCTCGACACATCATAGCGCTCGAATCCTGAGAGGGGTCTGAGCACGGGTGCTGAACCAAGTGGCAATGTAAAGCACGCCGCGCGCTCCTTTTCACCGGTTGCTTCAGCCATCTCCTGATAGGCAAGCCCCTTCAGGAAAACCATGTTGATGTCAAGGGTAGCAATGATCCACTGCTTCCTGCACACTGCCGCGCTGGCGAATAGTCTCTGACTCGGCCGCCGCGCCGTCCCTGATAACGTTTCCACGTCGTAGGCTTCGAGGCGAATGGAGCCCCGAAGCACCAAGCACAATCTAATGGCACGTTCCATCTCGCCCCGAAGTATCCGTGATGTTTGATGCGTTGGATGGATCATGTGTGTTGAAACACTTGTTCTCCAGCCATGTCTTGATTTCATTATATAGGCCTTCGATGCCTTGACTGGATTCGCCTGGATACCTGCCCTCGTGAAATGATCGTCCTCCTTGACGACTGCAGCTCGTCTTGCTGCAGCGGTCGCATGCACTCGCATAGTGGTCACGCGGTCGAAGTCCAGTATCCTGTGCTGTTGCTCTGATAAGACTATCTGTGACATTTCCCCCGTAAAACAGAAATCCACGCATTGTCCGTGCTCGCCAGAGTCCAATCCGCAACTGCCCTTCGTCCGTGGAGCACAATGGGACATAATATGTCTCGTGGGCAGGTGACCCCGCTGTTCTTCAGGTTATTCAGCTACTGTGACCAGCGCGCTGTTGTCAGTGATCATTTGTGCGGGTGCAGTGTAGAGCTCGACAAATGGAGCGCCTCCGACAGTTCCCTTTCGTCTTGTAGTCCTGTGCGCCACACTTCCATAATGTGCGCCTCGAGGTCCACCTCTGATTCCTCATAGATGGTGGGAAGCCGTCCGTCTTCCTGTGGTGGTTCGACTTCTGGGCCCCCCCTGGCATAATTGCCTTGCGCTGGCATGGCGGCCAGTCCTGCGAACTTCGCCATGTCTTGATCGAAGCCCGCTTGAGGTTTGGTGGACTTCAGGCATTGGGTGACTCTTGAGTGTGCTGATCCAGCTATGTTTTGAATGTTTAGAGCAGTGCCTTCGGCTTCGTAGTTGTGGAAGCCTGGGTTCACGCCGTTGTCACAGCGCACCAATGTACAACTGTCAGCGTACGTCACCAGAAGTAGCTTGTGAATGCTCTTGGCCAACCTGACAGAAACTACGCTTTCAATGCGAAAGAAGTCCCCGATGCGGCACTGGAGAGCATGTGTACTAGGAGATAATCGGCTCGCGCTCGTCATCTAGAGTACTCCCTCTTTGGTCGGGAAGTATCCAGAGGTCATGGCAGGTCGCCCCGCAGGTAGACTGTCTATATGTGCCAACAAAGTCCGTAATGCTGCGCTGTCCCCGCCAACTTCTCGAGTGATCAGAGCTTCAATGTACTGCGAGTGTCGTGCGTGACCGTGCTGGACTTGTACATCGCGGTTCCCAACTCCCATCATAACCCCTGTCGGGCACGACCGGGAAAGGTCCACTCTGGCCACCCCAGTCGTCTTTCGCATTAGTCGGACGGCGGTAGTCAACCTGATCTCCTTCGTCATAGTAACGCTGACCAGTGATGGTCGTGTTGGTCCGTAGGGTTCAGCTGCGCTATTTTAATTTCAAGATTGATCGCCTCAATGCTTACCCGGCGGACAGTCTGTTCTCGAGTATGATCGGGTGTCTCCATCTGCTGTTCGCGGTCTAGCACAGGACGCAGCTCTCCCAGCGATGCAGGTGCCACCAGCTCTGGACCATGTGGATTCACAGATTGGTCCACAGGGGCCGCCAGGCACCCGCGGTGCGGCACCTGGCCGGGAGTGCCAGCCTCATATCCCGCTCCCCGTGTGAGTTGAGGCCTGTGAAAGTCATCCGCTGTCGCCCCGACGCACGGCTTTTCGGGTTGACTTCCGACCCGCGGGACCCCTGTCGTCCGCGCGTAGTTGTCAGGGAGCATGGCCGAATCCATCTACGGCACCACCGGCCTATTGGCAGCTGTCGGATCATGGGTTGTGTGGCTGAAGAATGCAGGTCTGCATCCATATCGGTTCGGATGGTTCGGCGACGGATTTGCGTCAGGCACGCACTCCCAAGGCGGAGTCAACTGGGCACTTGGCAGGTCGATTCCATCCCGCCTCATGCTCTCCATAGCCTCCTGCATCTGTCTGTGCCTCCACTGCTGCTGTCCAAGCATACTGTTGGCCCTCTAGGCAGCCTCTGCCGTGGGCCCCATTTTGCCGTACTGGTCCATCACTACTGGCTGCCACGTTGGCGCAATTTGCGGCGCTGCAGCACGTGGGGGTGCAAAGGGAGATGTGGCCTGTGAGGCCTGATAGAGCTGTGGATCCATCCTCACGCTGTGGAGTCTGGCCTGTAGACTGTTTGTGCTACCAGCACTCTGTGGAATACTAAACGGAGTTACGGGCCCGCTCATGGGCGCAAATACGGCGGATCGCCCCGCGGGAACAGGCAGCTGCTGCGCCTGATTGCGCCGCGGATCATTGGCGACAAGCCCGTCGTTTGGCGCTGCACCACTGGATGTGAAACCCGACGCATCGGCACTCCGGGCCCGAATCCAGGATCCATTAGAGTCGTCTGCAGGTGTCCCCGCTGGATTCACCTCTTGTAGCATGCATATCGAGGCATGATGTACCTCTTCTGTGGGTGGGTTCGCCGTGGGTACACGCAAGTTGTAAGGAGTGTCTGGTCTGATCCATCCCTTCGGTGTGGAGGGACCGCATGGTGTTTCGTAACACTCCATCGGTGCGAAAAGAAACCTTGGCCGGTTACCCCGCTGAGTGTCAGCATGCAAATCAGTGACCCATACCTGCCCAACTCGATCGTGCTCACATTCGTACGCGTTGTGCTGGATGCCGATAAGTTGGACAAGGGAACTCACCGGGA